CATTAAACATGGCCAAAGGTTAAAAAAATCAGGTCAACTATGTACAAGCAACCCTTATGAGTCAAACAGTTTTTCTACTGTTGGCTCTGTGTGATGTCAATAAGAGCACACAGCTCTTGTTGTCATGTTATTTTTCCATAATCTGGATCGAGGAATGTGCCCTTGTAGGAAATTTACTGTAAACACATGTAATTTATTAAAAGTGACATATAATGAAACATAGGGGACATGTTGGTCTGCATGATTGGCACTGGATGCAGTGCATGACTGAGTGGAAGATGGGGGTGCTGAATGTGCAAACTAACAGATAGCAAAGTGGAAATAATTTAATGGACTGAGTACATGGACTAGCTTGCCCATAGACTATACCAGACCACTAGATGAGCTGACAACCCTCTACTACCAATTGTCTGCTGTACTGGACCAGAACAGCCCAATAAACAAAACACACCAGCCATAGGGAGGACACTCATTCAGATCATGCAACATCAAGTGTAGTTAGAGTGGAAGTAGCTAATGTGTGCCCCTCAGCTAACTCAGAGACTACACATGTTGTGTATATGGTGCTAACTGTACACATGAATCACAAATGAAAGTACCATAATGGAAAATGCAGTGAGCCAATCTGTGAATAATTTATTTGTACGTTTGTTGACTTTACTCAGAGCATCTCATCTGCATATTGATAGCAGCTGGGAAACTAAAATATGAATTTCCAAGTAGTCCAGCTTGTGCTGATAATAACAATATATGACATGCATAAGCCTGTAATTGAAGGAAATGGAAACCTAAAGGCGGTCTGAGGTTCAAAGGGTTAATCTGGGCTATAAGGTTTTATGAAAGGGACTCAACCACAAGGCCGCATTCCTGTTGCTCTTTAGAAATTGTGCTTAAATTTGATTTTCAGCCCTGAAATTTTCATGTGGCTAAGTCCTGTGGGAAACAAAGAATGAAAAAGCACAAACTTTCAACTCACACATGTGGACTCATATAATTTAGAATATTTGAGGGTCTTTAACTAGGCAAATGTTCTTTTATTAATGGATTTTCATTAGTATTCTTTCAAATTAGTTGTAGTAAATTTATTGTGCTTAAAAGGTTATGCTGAGAGGAATCATGTGGAAATATTTTTCACATTTGATTGATTACATATGGGATGAGCCTTAGTCATCTTCACTGACTGCCTGGTCTGCTTTCTTTGTAAACTCACTCCTAGACAGTTTATGTTCCTTCCTTTGCTCATCTGAGCTCTGAAGTGATTTGTGTCTAAAATGAGTTAATAATGGGGAACCCTTGAAGAAAGCCACATTCAGCTGTAAATGTAAGAAATCCAAATTCTCAGAGTCCACGATCAAGTGCAGTTGTGTGTTTTTATTCTGCTTGTATGTGCTGTTTTCATACCATACACTGTGTTCATCTTTTTCTTTAGTTACATGCTCAGAGTAACATTTTAAAGCAATCAGCCTTAGCTGTATATGGTTCAGTATACCTGACATGCAGTAACTTAACTAACCTTCAATTTTTTTCTCTTCTTTCAGAAAAATGTTGGAGCCATCAACAGAAAAAGGAGCCTCAGTGCTAAATCTCAGACGAGCAGCCAGGGTCTAGTTCAGCTCCAGATGTGTTGAATTAAATCCTCCTGCTGCATCCCAGAATGCCTCAGAGACTGCGCTAGCTCATAAATCAACACGATCTATATCTAGAACAGACACGACACAGACACAGCTTGTTTTGCTACCTTTTTTTTAGCACCTATATCTCCGCTTTTACACAGTGACTCAGCAAACATGCCACAAAACATCTATTCTTTAAAGTGTTGTGAAAAACACGGGGGGTTATGTGGTAGGGAGTAAAGGAAAGGCTCTGGCTATAACAGCAGTGGATGGGGGTATAATTTCCATGTAAATTTGCCATGTGGTACAAATCTTAAACTGACATACCTCACGTCTCCCAGCTTTAGGTTTTTTACGCAACTTTCCGGGAAGCTTCTCTTTTTTTTTTTTCTTGGATCTCTCTTTCTGAGCTACATGTGGTTAAAAAACATGTCTATAAACTATATATGTGAATAAGTTACCCTTATATAGCACTTGAAATGATGTTAAGGCATGTCATTAAACGTTTGTGAATTTTATCTTGGCTATGTGGGATTCTATTTTGACTTTTGAAAACAAAAAAGACTTGTAGCAGTCTCGCACTTTCCAGACAGTAAGGGAGAGACGTGTACAGAGGTAAAAAAAAAAGAAAATAGAGTATAATATTTGAGCTTCACAGCAGCTCAACAATCTTTCTGAGCAAAAAGGTGTAAACAGAACACATTTTATTATGACATTAGCCTGCTAATTTGATATAAATAACCATAACCATAACTGCTCTTGCTCTTGACGAAGGGTCGCACCTTTCTCCTCTCCTCCTCTCCCTTAGCTTCCCTGCTTAGCCTCTTATGTCCTTGTCTAGTCTCATGTTTTTTGTATCTTTTCCCTGGAGCACTCTCTCACAGTCTGTTCTCTAAAACCTAAAAGAGGAATTATGGATTTGATCAACTGGTCCCTAAATGCAATTGACACCCCTTTCTCAACAAGAAGTTTGGGCTTGGGTGAGCCTGAGTGCTGAAGATATCTACCTATTCGGAACCATGGTAACAGGGTTCTTGCTGATCGGAGCTGGCTTGCCCTGACTTATCGAAGAATTAAGAAAGCGGAACTGGCTGTTCAAACTCCCACAAGGCTGCCCGCTGGGATTGAAACGATGGGAAGAGGCGTGAGTTTCTCAAAATGGGCTCATTGAGTGCAGCACGGATAAGCTCTTGGAGAGGCTACGGTTGCTGTGAATACTCAGAATAAGACCTCTGAGCGCAATGTGGATTACATCTCGGAAGGGCTTGCTCGGAATAACATCTCTGAGCGCAGATTGGATGACATCTTGGGGAGGCTCACTGTGGTCGTGAGTTCTCCGAATCTGCTCTTTGAGCACAAGAATGACAACATCACAGAGCGCAAGTTTGATAACATCATGGAGAAGCTCACGGCTCTCCAATGGGAGATTGAGAGACCAGTGTTGGACTGTTAAAACTGCTTTGAAATTCATATGAGCTGTTCGCACTAAAGTAAAAAGCACCATCACTTCATGCAGATACCCTTTCGGCGCCAGCTGCAGTCGCAAAGGCTGGAGCTGAACAAAAACACCCTGATAACGACTGTGTTGAGTCTGTTTCTTCCCATTTCATGCAAGGCCACCTGGGTTGGCTGGAAGACTGTTTACTTAGCTTAGCAGGGTGAAGGACACTGTCTCAGCTGAACTCTGGACACGCACACACATACATATACACTGATATGCACACACTCATCCCCCTTCCCTTTCCAAACGCCTTCGATGCTTGTTCCCTCCTGGGAACACGGCGGGTCTGAGCCCGCGCTGGGCAGGATGGCTGCTGTGTTTGCTTCAGATTACTCCTTACCCCCCACCCGACCCTGTGACTTGTCACGTGTTCCATAATGTTGTGCTGTGGACATTTATGAGTTTTTTTGTTTCCTGTTCTCATGCTGTCCTCCCAGGAGCCCAGCATGAGTAGAGGTCTCTTTTTTTCCTCTTGTACTTTCCCATTGTAGTGTATATTTCAGTTTTTGTTTTCTGTAACGCTACCGATCTCCGACCTGTATCCCCATGTGATGTCTGTGTTGTGTGTGTAAGGTCGGGGGGGTCCTATTTCACTGCAGGGCAACCTGCACGGGGCAAATAAAGCCTTGATTGATTGATTGATTGATTGATTGATTGATTGATTGATTGATTGACCAGTGAGGCCGGCGGGACAAAATCTCATTTCACACACATAATAACTCCAGTCAAAAGCAGTCAAATTTTTTTGTGTCAAAACATTAGTGATGAAAAAATGCACCTTAAGCACCTTAATCAATTAAAGAATGTAAAGATCACATCTGCATAAAAAATAAAATGCATACATCTGTTACATACGATCTGTTGCTTATTTATATGGACTTTGACAAACATAACGCTGTAAATTATTAGCTTTGTAGTTGCTAGATACTTCACACTTATTTAACACTTAGCTCGCTGTCTGTACCTATCATTTGGTTTTGGGCACATTAGCACAGGTTTTTATATGTGAATCACCTGTTGTCAGTAAAACCAGAAAATGAAGAGAGCAATGATTTGGAACCAAAACAGTTGATCTAAGTTCTATAAATCAGTACTGTTGTGTAACCATTGTACAGAAATGTGCACAACAAAGTATGAGACAAATATAGGGCACTGGCTATTTTTGGATGTATGTGGTTTTGTGTGTTTGTTCAGAGCCAGACATGTTTGACTGAGTTTTTAAGCTCTGTCCAATATATACAGAATATTTCTGTTAATATGCAACACTTTGCCTTTTTAAGTATGAGATATATTTGACAGGGTTAACTGTAGCCTCGGAGGAAGACCAGATTATATATTAATTGGTAGTTTGATTCCTAGGGCGCTTCAGTATTCTTGGGCACATTGTCCATTTAAAGATGATTACTTATACACTCTTGTAAATCTAGCTCATGCTTAATTGCTCTATTATGCTCTATCTATTAGAAGTAGTTATCTTGCTGTATTCTGACATTGTAGTAGTAATTTACTACAGTAACATTTAATTAATTAATTAATTTACTCAAGTCAGCAAGCCTAGGTTTGGTAAAGCCAATCACTTACAGCTAATATTAGATGGCATAAGCAAACCTTAGCTAGAGACTATATCAATCTTATAACTAAACAGCAACTATAGATATTGATAGCGTCAACACTTTTTACTCTTTACTCTTAAAAGCTCTTAAAAAAAATGCACACATGCAGTCAGAAATAAATTCATTTTGTCATTCTCAAATAATGTGGCCCAAATCTGAAATTTTTACTGTATCATGTGACTGAAAGTCTCTCATCAAAAACATCAGGAAAGCAATATAAAAAAAATCTAATGAAACACTTATTGGCTGTTTAAACAGTAAAAACAAGTCGTGTTTTTTTTTTTTTTATTGTAAATGTTTTACATTGTAGAACAAAAGCAAAAAATAACATTTTTAGCTTTTTGTTGTAGGTATGTACAGAACACATCTGAAAATGACTTCAGTGTTTCATAACACACGGACAATTTTATTTCCAACTCAGGTGTAATTTCAATTTGTTTTATTTTCAATGTTAAACCAAGTGCATGTAAATAAACTGTTGCTGACATGCATTTTTTTGACTTCTTACAAAGAATGCATCATGAAACATGTAATAAGTCTATTGTATGTGTTGTGTACAGACCTCACAAACACTAAGTTAACTAATTTTAAAACAATATATTTGAATTATCATGTTATGTACACTTTCTTTACAGTTTTAAAAATCTTTCACAATCACAGAAATCACTAGAAGAATATTTCAATTCTCTTTTAGATGAATATAAAGTATTTACATACATTCACGGGATCACGTACGACACCCTTTCAGAAAAGTGTTTCTTCTAATTGCATGGAAGGAATGGCTGACTGAGTTTACATACTTCCTTTATATAGCGTCACTGGTGGCAAACCTAAAAAGGGTTTGACAATCACTGCAGGTTTCAGCAAATCATCAATTTCTAAAACCACAAAAGTCTTTCTTAAAACCGTATTTTAAATCTGTTTCAAATCTGTGAATTTTGTCAAATAATTCTCAACTTTATGGCACAGAAATTTCCTCTGAGCTCCTCCTATGATATTTGGTTTAATTGAAAGGAAATTCAGAATAAGAGATTAAAGCAATCTACTCAGTTAAGTGAGATATGAAAAAAAAAGCTTAACAGTCACTGCTTCCTTACAGTACAATACCTCTTTTAGAACAATCAATATGTTCAAGACCAGCAATAGTGTTTCTTGAATGCTTTTGAAAATGGTATATATTCTGAAAGATGTGCTGTAAATTCATGTTTGGGCACAACCAAAGTAAGAAAACTTACTCATGAAGATTTCCCTTTAGATGTGGCATTTGATGTTGCAATGACACTAATTTTCCACTCTCAATGGAAAGTTAACTGAGCTCTTTTAGTTTTAATCTGTGGAGAAAAGTGGGACAATATCTATTTGATGCCTCTTTAAGCAAAATCCAAAATATTTCATACATTAATTAATTAACAATTTATTCTCTTACAAATTAAGTCTTCAGTGATAAAGCACTGATTTTAAAAATGCAATATGTACTTGGGTATTTTGCCTCCGTTGCAGTTGGTCACTATTAGCTAATACAAGTTAGCTAACACTAGCTGATGTTAGCTAACATTTTATAATGCTAGTTACTGTTTTGTAATTGTACATCATTTACGCTATGCACTATGATAAACGATTGAAGGTACTTATAATTTTCATATGTACTGTGATCCTGTCATTGCAGCATGTGACAACATTGGCCAGTTCTTTAGCAAAAACAACATAGCTTATCTTTAATCTTTTTACTTTGGTGTCCTTGGTGCTAGCCTTAATAACTGGCTACCAAATAGACAAACTCAATTTGACAGGTAACGATTTCATTTAATTTTAGATGTTCAAAAAATCTGGGGCAAGACAAAAGATTCACATTGATGCCAGCAGATTTACCATCTTGTATCATATGACAGCAGTGACATAAAGTAAAGAAAGTCACATTAAGTAATAACTGATATGGTATAACAAAATTATTAAACAGAAGTTGTGACATTTCATGAGATGAACAAAGACAGAGTTTTAAAGCTTGGCTTTAGGGTCATCAGCTTTGATCCAATAAAGGCCGTTAAATTTACAATTATTACGATAAGTAATTTTTTGACAAGATGAATCAAAAAGAGTCAGACCGCAGTAAGATAACATAAAATTCTCAGAATTCTCAGTATGGGCAGACAACCAAAAATGTCATGTGTATCAGTGCAAATTACATGATATTTGTTGGTGAGCAGTAATTCAACATCAACTTGAGCTTTGTTCTTGTGTTTGAGGTCGTAACAGACTCTAAGGCAACAAAGAGACTTATTCAAAGCTAATGGAATGTTGGTGTATATTTTTATCTACTGAGAAAGAATTAAACCAAGACCTTAATAGTCCCCATTACTTCCTAATAGTATGCCCAGTAAGCTCTTGTTGCCGTGCAACAAACGAAATTCAAGCCATTAAGCAGTAAGTTTTTGCTAGTATTACTTTTCAAAACATTTGGCTCCAGGAAGAGTATAAAAAGTGGAGGTTTTAAACAGGGATGCATGTGACTAGTCAACTAGATGTTTAAATCCTACTGCTATTGCTAGTCAGCACCAGAAATACTAGTCAGTTACACAGACTGGTACACCTGGTAGCAAGATGGAAAGTAAGCAGATTACCACTAACCAGCTTGGTTCAGCAGTATTTTGACGCGGAAAATGAATGGTTGTATGTCACCTGTGCTAGCATGCAAGCTAATGGTAAACTAATCATTGTATCTGTGTGCAACATTACATACAGCTCAGAGTTCCACACATGTCAGAGACATTTAAAATGCAATCTGATCACGGAGGAACGTGATTGAAAGTTTCACATAGCTCTTAGATACAGCCAATGTTTAACCTCGTCCATTAAGTTTTCATTGTTTTCTACCTTTTAGACAAGTCAGCTAACCTGATTCTTGTTTAAACAACTAGCAAATTAGTCGCTATAGCATCCCTAGTTTTAAATAGTAGCCAACCCACCAGTGTTATACCTTTTATTGATATAAGGCTTTTGATTGAACATAGCAATAACACACACCCCAACATGTAAAAAATAGCAGATCTTTCTCCAAATTAGGTTAGCTAAAATATCTGAGAATAAAGTTGTAATATACAAGAAGCTTATTCCACCTGTGAGGGTGCTTTGTCAAGTAACAGTTTTCTGTTTTAGTTCGTTACAGTCTTTTCCTCGTCACCCAATAAATTATCACAGTACCATGAGTGTACGTCACGCACACGTATTTGAACATAAACACACTTGGGCAAAAAGGAGTCTGGCGCAAACTCCTTTAAAGGGCATCTGGACTATCACCCCACCACCCTCCTCTGTCTTTCGTCACATTCCCTCCCCTTCCCTCATATCTGTCAGGCTGCCAGAGCAGGGTCAGAGGGGTCCATTTGCAGAGCGTCCTGTCCTGCTGCTTCGTGGAAAGCGGTGGACTTTGAGGTGTTTCGACAGGTGATCACTGCGAGCAAACTTTTTCTCACAGACTATACACTGGTATGGTTTCACTCCTGAGTGGGAGCGGCGGTGTCGGGATAGCTCGTCCGATCGAGAAAATCTGTTGGAAGGAAACCCAGCATGTGGTTAACAAATTAATCAAATTTTACTGTAAATTAAAAACATTTGGCTATAATAATCCCCCATTATTGCTTCCAAAGGTTCTATTTTATTATTACTATCAGTAATGTGATCTGTTTGTATACAGCTATTGTTATATATATATATATTAAAAACAAACTAAAAACAAACTGATGTAGTCACGCTTTAAGCTGCCAAATAATATAAAAGCCATGCCAGCCTTTTTTATTTCAGGGTAATCTGATAGGTGTGAGTATTGCCCTGCGACTTGAAGTTAAAGAGCCATCCCATATTTAGCTTAACACATGAGCACTGTAAATCCAAACCCAGTCTATTCCTGGCCTGCTCTGCTGTGGTTTCTATGGGCTTCGGCCAGCTTGGGTATCAAGCCAGTGAAGGGTTAAGTGGATGACAGAGCAGTGCCTTTATACCTTGATTTGGTTCCGTATATATTAGTAAAGCTGTTAAGATCTGAACAATCTGCAACACAGATTGATTTTCTAACACATTTCCAGGAGCAGAGGCAGGCTGTAGACATGAAGGCGATAATTCGGAGATGTAAAGATGTCACTCACAGTTATTTCAAACCATTTCCACTGTAGACATGTATTATACAACTGGCCTATTCATCATTTTAATAGGCCAATCATAAAAAGAAGGTACATGACAGAGCTTACAAAGCTAAGCAGTGGCATCTGAGACAGCAAGAATCTTAAAACAAATCAAGACGACTCATGTTGTTGATATGGAGCTCTTTCTCTATTGCAAGTCCCACATAATCTCATATAATACTCCAGAAAGTACAGATAATCAGTCCCCAGTGTAACAAAAGAGTCTGCAGCCATAATAGCTATTATGTGAGACACAATGAGCCAATATGCTCAAAGGTGGCAATGCTAACATGTTTGTCCTAAGCAGGTAGAATATTTTCCAAGTACACCCTTACAGCTTTCAGAGGCTTTAAGATGGCAAGTAGGAGGCAGGTGCCAAGGTGACACAATAGCGAGAAATGTTTTAGCTAACCATGATCTTTAAAAAAAGCAACTGTCGCTGCCAGTGAATCTAAAAAGTGTTGGCCATTTGTGGCCATTTTCCAAACAATCTGAATCCTACCACTCTAAAAAGAGAAAGACTGGTCACAAGTGAAAACATTCAGGACAGGTGCCAATCTTCCCAGGAATGGACTTCCCAGCAAATTTACTGCAAGGTCAGATCATCCAGTGCTCAGAGTACCTGCAAAAAGCCTAAAAGCTACAGCTCAGACTTTACAGGCCTTGGTTAGCATGTTTAATGTTAAACTTCATGACACTACAATTGGAAAGGTTGCCAGGAGAAAGCCTTTTCTCTATAAAGCTGCATTTGAGTAAACCACAAGACTTTTGAAACAATCTCCTTTGCACAGATGAAACCACAGTGGAGATGTCAGGCCATAATGCACATCACCGTGTCTGGAAAAAAAATGCAAAAAATGCAACCAAACAACTAGAAAAACAACATTTCAGCAGACACAGCTCATACCAACTGCCGAGCCGGGGGTTTGGACTTCTAGTATTCTAGAGTCAAATGTAAGGCCATCAGTCTGACAGCTAAAGCGTGGCCTAAACTGGATCATGGATCAGGACAATGATCCTTTTGTTGTAAAGGAAAAGAATCAAGGTGCTACAATGGCCCAGTCATGTGTGGATCTCAACATGACTGACATGCTGACCTTAAGAGAGCTGCAAACCTCAATGAACTGAAGCAACGAAGAGTCAGACCAGATTCCCCCACAGTAACAATAATAATGATGAAGTCACACATTATCATACATTGCTGTTAAATGTGTTTGTGCACACTAGTGAATACTGGGGTGTACTTTCTTTTTTGTGACTGTATTCAGTAAAACCGCACCATTTAACTATTTGCTTTATGCTCTGTTGGGAGCAGCACATCGGACTGACACTAAAAGTTATGACATTCACCAAATATTGTCTAACCATGTTACAAAGGACCTTTAGGTAAAACAAAACGCAGTTACTGATATCAAGTTGCAAAGCTCTCCAAATGTGTGAAAAACACTTTTTGTTGCAGGCTGTTTGAAAAGTTAACTGAGCAACAGAAAAGAGGCAAATGAAAGGTGTTTTTCTAGCTCTCTTACACAAACACAATGTTTACTACAGTATATACTACAGCTAGGGATGATTTGCTCATCTCTTTGTAGCCCTGAATGCAGTTATAAAATGTCATTTTGTAAAACTAACAAGCTCATCTGTTTGTTACACATCTACAGTAGAAGACACAGCAGAGCAAAATAAGGAAAGAGTTGTAGTTTGGATAACGAGCCAATGGAAACTTCTATGACAGTTTTCTTTTCATTTGACACCCCCATGTACCTCTTTACATTTCACACAGTCATTCAGTTTTGTTAACAGACAGTTATGGCTTATTGGAGCCTTGAATAACATTAATTTTGTGATAGACTGTCTACTGAAGTCTTTTGCCTTTGTGTTGAAAGGATTAGTGGGATTTTCTTTTAACCTAGTTCTCCGTACCTCAAGAACATGTCAAGTAAACAGAAATAAATACTGATCCATGTCTTTACGTTCTCTTCTTTATGCGACTACACTCTTGGTAATTGCTGGATGATGTGAATGCAAGCATTAAACCCTAAAGCATTACTATATCAGCTACAAGCTTGGGCACGGTAGAACCCATACATGTGTACTCTATGACTAAATTTGGGCTGAGCCTATAAGAACTATAACATAATGTACTGTACCCAGAAAGATCTTTCAAGAGAACATTCATGCAGGAGTTATGCAATTACATAACCTCACTCTCCTCACATGTATGTTATTTGGCATAACGCCTGTTCTCTTTTGTCACCCCACCTTCTCTCTCTCGCCACCTCATCCCCATTCTTGCTATAATTCTTTGTCTACAATTTTAGCAATGCCACTTTTTCTCACCTTACATGTCACAGATTGTGGACAGAGAGAGAGAGTGTCCTCAAGCTCAGTGAGTTCAGCGAGTTCATAAGTGCTACAGGTTGGGATTAGGGGCAATTTTCTTGATTACGTGAGTTTGTGCTTTTCACTGAGGATTGTGGCTTTTGCGCCTCAAGTCCTTGGGGCAGCTTGGCGTGGAGCTGCACAACACATAGTATACATAACAGCGTGGGCCCTGTGGGAAACACAAGCAGGTCTTGTTCTAACTTGTCCCTGAACTTAGATCTTCCGCCAAAGCAGCATTCAAAGAAAACAGCCTAAAAGGTGTGGCGGTAACAAACAGTAACACAGATGCTGGCATATATATAGGTATAGGTATGCCTACTACATGTTAACCAACACAAAGGCCAAGAAACTCTTCTGAAGGATTTTTGCAAAATAGATATTATCTTTTTATCTAGCTGAATAGCAGCAGCTTTCCATCCACGGTGGTCCCCGCCAGATCAACAACCCTTCGTGAGTGATGGATCATAAACTAAGCACCCTCTCTTCCTTTCCCTTTGTCTCTCTTTTGAGCTCTAAGTGTCCAAATCTGAGGCTAAGTTTGACTGTGACAGCCCCGTCAGCACCCAACATTGTTTTGTTGTAATGATGAATGCATCAGCTGACAAAGACAACAAGCCACAGCCCTGATGACAGATGCCGAGCACGCACACGCTGGAGTGTTTTTACAGCAAACTTTGGGTTCCAGCTCAGATTCTCAACAGAATCCTCACATGAGAGCCTCAGTGCAGGCCGGAGATGAAAATGCTCCATGTTTGTGTGCGTGTATAGGTGTGTGTGCGTGTGTTGCTTGTATGTATGTGCTAATTTAAGTGTTTACATGTGACCAGATGGTCACAAGAGGGGAAAAAAATTCCAAAAAGCTTTAAAAAGGAAAACCGTTTGGCAAAGGAAGGAATATAATGTTGAGTGAGTTATATGTGGGAATCCAGCCAATGAAATACCTCTCCTGTCTACTTCAGAGGAGCCAACACATGGATCTACTCTAAGGTTACAGAGGGTACAGGGAGCCTGACTTCTTACTTCACGTCCATTTCCTGACTCAGAGGGAGAGGAGTGTGGAAGAGGTAACTTTATAATATAGTAAATTGCTGCTGCTGTCACGTAAAGACGATGGAGATGAAGTTTTGAAAGAAAATTTAGGATCACTTAAAGAAACATGTAGTTCTCAGTGTTTGCATTTCCTGACAACACAGATTAAATCCAGTCATAAATGAAAGCAAGTGCACCATTAAACCTGACCAATTGAAAAACATGGCTAATCTTGCCACACTGTCAAAACACACTTGTAACCCAAACAAAAAGATCTAAAGTTTAAATAAGTATCAGCAGAGTTTTCTCCACCACATAACAAGCTCATTAATTTCCCTGAAATGAGAACTCCATCTAACACCTAGCTGGTTTCTGAGCTGTAGCACCTGCATCTTTCTCCTTTTCGGTGGACCTCACTGCCACTAGCATAGTCGTGGTGAGTGCTTAGCTTGCATGTCCTACTTTAACATGCACTCAGCTGCTCCTTAGCACCTGATCACACTCACTGAATCAACAGTATGATGGGAAACATTCCTGAGATTTTCTTTTTAGTCACAAGGAGCAAAAATGTGAAGAAATTTTAACAGCATCACATTGATTATTGTAAAGAGTAACTAAATAACCGATTACTTGAACTACAAAACTAACACGTTGGTATCCCCAGTTTCAAGTGATCTGCAAACTGATTACATGCATTGCGCCCATATGTCTGCCACTGATAACAATAACACAGCAATGCAGCAAAACAAAGCTCCGATACAAATTCATTTTGGGCTTCAGATCAGAAGTTAGCTTAGCTTAGCATTAAAATTTGAAAAGGAGGGCAGAGCTAGCCAAGAGTGCCTTTTCAAGCTCACTAATAAAAGTGTTTTTGATCTCATCTCTTTGGTCTGAGGAAAAAGCAGAAAACTAACATCCACAAGCTGTAACTGTTGCTTTCCAGTGAGTGCTCGGGTCCAGTGACCTCATCAAGTTTCCCCTGGATGCCTTAAAACTTCCCTATGAAGCCAAGACATGAGAGTCGTATCACTCATCTCATCTGTCCTTCATCAGCAAGCTTGATGGAATGATAAAGGTTACCAAAGGACAAGTGCCTATAGCACTTTATTTCTCATGGAAAACATGGAAAAAGTATGTCTTAGACTCCAAAAAAAGAGATCATTACATACATAACAGGTGACAGATCACAATAACTTGATATAGAAATACCTGGATGTATATCCATCCATAATGTTGTTAAAAAATGTCTGACATGTTTTTTTAATGGCTATAGTTGTAGCACAGTCTCCTCACAGTGTGTGCTGATTGCAGGTGTAACTTTGCACTGGACAACTGCTGAGCTGGACCACCATATCCAACATATCACTCCATGACAAAAACACATCAACCTTTTCACTCTAACTTTAACCTAAATTTAAATCTACCCTTTACTTCAAATCCTTAGCAGAGTTATTTCAACGTTTCCAATGCTTGCCCTAATGTAGGCTGGCCTTTGTCCATATGTACAAAAACACACACACAAACACACAGGGACATGTCTATAAGGCTCTATATGCACACTCTTGGGCAACAACTGAAATAAATGACCACTGCACCAATGATCAAAGAGTTCAAGTAAGGATTTCTTATTCAAATCTAGTCCATGATTTAAACATGGAAAAGCTACTCAGTTTGCAGCAAATTAGACTTTTACCTTGTGTCCTACACTGATAACTTTAAACTTGATTCTGTACTAATGCTCTGCTGCGAGAACAGAAGTAAAGTGGTTGCAGACAGTGAGCAAACAAATGGAATAACTAACAGGGGACAAAGTCTGCATGCAGACTGCTTCAAAAGGCACTCTATCTAATCTGCAATTTTACCATGGTAGAAAAACACACAGCTAGCCGGGATACAACCAACATGTAGAAAAGAACAAATTCTAACCTTCTAAAAAAGCCTTGAGTGCAGCTTCCCTGACGATGACCCATTCCTCCGTTCACTACCATCCATAAACTAATCAAACAGAGGTTCCTGAATCCTCTCTGTGTGCATTTAACATACATTTATACCCTTGTTAAAGTTTTCACTCTCTTGTAAAATGATATCTTTGGTTCTTTCAGATGACGTGGGGACATCAAAGATGCCTCAAAGACAGATAAAGGATGTGGAACAATTTGCTCTTCCTCCAAGAAGCAAAAAAAACCCCTTCTAGCATATTTCAGAAGTCAAAAAGGACAATAAGACAGCTTAATGCTGCTGCACTCGATGGATTACATTTCCTAGAGTATCACTTCTTATCAGTATTAACCTGACAATAGAGTATTCTTCATTACATGACACATTAATGTGTAGCACTGTGGTACCTCATTAAAGTCTGTACACAGTATTCAAGTATCCTATAGAGTGGAAGTCGATAATCCTGGTTATTGTAATCTCTGTAGTGTAGATACGGATATATATGCAACATTAAACCTCTTAGTATCCACCATGTAACCACATGCTAAATAGGAAATTTTATAAAATGAACTTTAATACATTGATTTTGACATTACATGATTTCTTTTCCATTTGGGTGTTCCAAATAGATGAAAATTCTTTAAAAGGGGGGGACCATGGCCTAACTCACTCCCTACTCTTAACCCTAGGTGGGTTGCTGGTTACCTGGTGGATGTTATAAGAAGCTAAAGCAATTGAATGTGTGTCATGTGAAGCTGGCTTGCTTTTGACTTCATTTGAAGTCATACCAGCTTTACTATAAAAACATTTGGTCCCGCTCACCTCCATCCACAGCCAGGCCACGTGCAGGCAAATGGCTTCTCCCCCGTATGCCTCCTCAGATGTGCTTTAAGGTGGCTGCTCTTGGAGTACATCTTATTACAGCCAGGAAACGAGCACTTGTGCATCTTAATAAGGTCTGCGACTGCATTCTTCTGGTACCTCTGACCTCCAGAAAGCACCCCTGTACCCGAACTGCCACCTAACCCACCTTCCACAAGCCCTGTGGGTTTAGCTGCGATGGGCACTGGCGCGATCCGGACAAATTTGGACGAAGTGGTGATCCCGGCTTTGCTTGAGCTCGCGACGTTAGCTGAAGAAAGCAGCTGAGGCACTAAGGCAAAAGTCTGCCCCTGAATGTTAACCAGGAGCTGAGCTATTTTGATGTCAGTTGGGGCCAGGGTTTGTTGGGACTGAGATTTCTCAGGATTCTGTGTGTCAGATTCTGAAATGGCACTGGAGTTTGGTTCCTGTTTGATCTGTATAGGCTGGATTTGTAGGATGACAGGCACAGGAGAAGCAGAGCTGGAACTTTCGGATGAGGAAGGCAGTGATCCAGAGTCCTCCTGTTTGATCCCTTCTGCATGGCTGGTAGCAGAGCTAGTTACAGAGCTAGCATCTACCGATGATGATGAGCTGTCCATGTCTGATGCACATGGTGCATGTTTGGTCTCTGTGTGGGAGGAGAGTGGAGAATGAGCCACAGGCACAGTTTGATCCGAGTTCTGCGACACTAGTTCTCCTGCTAATGTCCTTGAATTTTCTGCATCTACATCCTCCGACGTTGGGGACATCACCTCATCGCACCTTTCCTCTTCTTTTTCCACTGCCACAACCATGTTTTCCTCTAGGAACTCCTCAATCTCCTCTAGAGTGGGCTGAAACAGGAATGCCGCAGGATCCTGCAACTCATCGAGGAAGACTGGGAACTCGTAAGAATCCTCTTTGGCCTGCTGCTGCAGAACACTCAGCTGTTGCTCCCAAGCCAGCCCCGTAGGTAAAATGGGAACAATAGGAGAAGAAGATGTGGAGGAAGGTGGAGAGGACAGGCAGAGAGAGGATGAAAGAGTGTTGCTGCTGTTGCTGGTGTTAGAACTTAATGAGGTGGTGTGGGAGGCCTGAGACAGCAGGAGGTCTAGCAGGCTGTCTTGACTCTCTCCTCCCGAGGAGCTGCAGCTCCCACTGCTCCTGCTGCTCCTGCTTTTGTAGCTGGAGCCGAGGACATGTCGTGACACCGGGGACGAGGACTCGGGACTGGAGCAGAGGGACGAACGAGGGCTGGAGGAGTCACTGAGGTCGTCCTCAGAGAGCCGAGGAGAGGAGGAGAGAGTCACTCCTTGGTACGGGTGGTGGTGGTGGTAGGTACATGCGTCAGTCACCATGATGCCACCATTAGTGTGGCAATAGAGGCAGCTATAGTCAGACTTTGGGGAGCCGGTGTAATACAGGAAGGTCTCCTCACCAAATGGTAAGTGATCAACCATTCCTGTGCGGATGAATGGCAGCTGGCTTTGCTTCACTCTGCTCTGAAGATCGGGCTGTTGTGAACGTTCAAGCGTGTTTCTTGTTCCTACAAAACACAAATGATTCAGTTTATTAGGTATGAAATTGAAAGAGATTCTCCAAAATCCTCATCTAGTGGCAGCTGCTCGGACTGTGTTCAATTTTAATGAAATGGAACTTTTAACAGGCTTGTGTTCCTGGGTGATGGTTAATCCTAAAAAGGTCCAGCGTGACACAAACACAGCAATGCTGTCAATGAGTCTGTTTGAAACTCAAACTCAGGTTAATTTTTTAACGAGAAAAAATAAAAAAAATAAGTAAACCAGCACTAACAGACTGAGAATGATCTCCTATTCTTTGTGGTTTCTACCTGCTGCCTATTCAAGAGGTTTGCAGCTGATGGCACTTCAAAAGGAAAGTCAATCATGTGTGAAGGAAGTGGAATTTAAAGACTGTGCATGTGTGCGGGAGCGTGGATGCTGCAGCTGCTGGTTCAGACTTCAAGTTGACCATGTGGAGTTTGGGTTTCCGGTTTCTTCTAACATTAAAGCCATATGGTCATTAAACGTGTTTTTCTACCTGTGGTCCTTTGCAGAGCTTTTGTCTCAAAGAGGACACCAATTGAAATTTTGTATCAATAAGATTTTCAATACGGTAGATATTCGACATTAAATCAGAATCAGAATACTTTATTGATCCCTAGGGGGAATTATTTTGATTACAGTGCTCCAGTATAAACATTAACAAGACAGACAATGCACTAAGTAAGAAATAGACACAATATATACAATATATACATGACTTATATACATATAAGTCACTTACTGATAAATAGCTGAATAAGAGGAAGAGCGTGTGCAAAAGGGTGTAGCTATAGTATACAGTGTGTTAAGTGGATGAGTTGTACAGGGAGATGGCCACGGGCAGGAATAAGTTTTTGTGTAATGTAAAGCTAGAGCCCAAAAGCTTTCTGCAGTTTTGGAGTCAATCGGTGTCACTGCAGGAAGAGTGAGGGATTTAGTGTCTATTTTTATGCCAGAAAAACAATGCACCACATCTACATTTACATGGATAAAAAAAACAACAACGCACTAGACACAAATCTACTTACATGCAGTGAGTGGCTTATGATGATTAAACGCAACTCTGAAATCCCCCTTTAAAACCTCAAAAGTCTGCATGAAAACGGGACTAGAGACAAAATGATAGTGCGCCCTCTTCTGTAAAAGAATAAAAAAAAAAAATAAAAAAAAGTTTTCAAGTGCAGAGATCCTAAGAAAAAAAAATAAAACAAAAAATGTTTTTGTTATGCACACACACACACAGAGAGAGAGAGAGTGAGAGAGAGAGAGAGAGAGAGAGAGAGACAAACACACACACACATGAATTTTTATCTAATGTATGATCTCAGGCTAGAATAAGGTAACATCATATGACATTGAGGGTCTGGTGTTCTGCAGCTGCTGCTTCTACGTGATACCTTATGGGAGGGGGGAGAAAAAGGGGTTTGGAAGAGAGTTCGGGATAGGTTTGGCCACGTCTAAACGATCTGCCCTGGAGTAACCCTGCAGCCATTAAACATCAAACAAGAATTTTGACAGCATGGTGCTCTCCTGCTCTTAACCACGCTGCGTGCTTAGTTAGGTGTGGAGGTTAATTCGGAATTCACGGCATGTTTAACGCTGCAGGCTGACAGCTTGTCCGATCACAGGCACGGGATTACTTCTTTTTTTGTAATACTGCGCCAATTCGCTAAATATTTCTACGTATCATCCGGTAACAGCTTTGCGTGCATGCATGTCTTTCATCAGAGCCACGCTTCACTGCACACCACACGGATAAACAGAAGACACACAGTCATATATAAACAGCAAATCGCCTACACACTCACCTGTATATGCAAGCAATCCAAACCCCGCTCCTTTAAAGCTGAGCGCTTCTCTCCTGGAAGTCCGTGCGTAATCGTGCGTAATGGCAATAGAACTCCACCGCACTGTCTTCGCACACTCTCTCTCTCATACAGCTCTCACAAGATCTCTCTCCCTCTCTCTCTCTCTCTAGAGTAGTCGTTGGTTCGTTTAACCGTCACGTGATCGAAGTTCGGCATGTTATACCAGTGAAATCAGGGCTCACGAAGGCTCGTCTGCTCGGCGCACGGTAATTGGCCTCCGATGACGGGAGGCCGGCCTTAGGGCTTGGCGTCAGTGGAAAGAAGGTGTGAGTAAAGGAAAGAGAGAACATGTGTGCCAATGAGGCTCGATCATAAAATCACTTTCATATCTTAGCAACTGCTCTTGAGGCTATTGAAGGCGCAAGTCATTTTCAACATTGTGTTGATGTGCTTCATTTGCATTTGGCAACTGGTAATATTTCCATTGCCCTTCCAGCGAGTGTGCCATGTGTGTTCACTGAAAACCTGCAACAAGAAGTGTCTATAATATTCTCAGTCAGTGCTGCATGTATTTTCTTTCCTGTATCACTTATTTTGTAGAAATAAATAGCTTTTACACGACATTACCATAGAGACTGTGTTTGAGGCTGACACATGATAAATCATACATTAGTATTAAAGCTGCTGAAAAGTAACAGCCCAATTTTCCTGAAGGGAAAAGCATCAGCAGCTGCTGCCTAGAAAGCAAGCTGAGATTTTCGCATTTACCATTGACCATGTCTGGATAAGTGGCCAAGTGATTGAGTGAATGAGGGAGCTATTGAGCAGGCAAGTGAGCGTGTTTACATGCTGCCTAATGACATCAGTAAGAGAAGTTTTGCTTTCACTCCAGCTGAGCAGACCTCATATAAACACCTCCGCAGGGCTGAAGGAACTTTACTGGCTACAGCCTAATTTGATTTGCCTGCGTAGGTTAGATTACCGTTCAGTGTTTGGATAAATGATCCACTTTCAGCCTGCTTGTAAACATTAGAAGTGTTTCAGTGTGTACTTGCATGCACCACAGTCACTGGCTATTATGATGTATAAAAACACACACACAATGCCACACTGAGGAGGTTCGTTGTGTGCATGACTCCCGTTGAGCACTTCCAGTGCCACTGCTGAAACTGCTACTGTCACTCGTGGCACTGTTTTTTTGTTTTAGTACAAAATTGTTATTGTTTAGTTAAATGTTGTAGTTTGTTTCCCAGGCACCAGGTGCAACATAACTGTTGAATTAGAGTTTGCCATGGAGCTAATTTGCATCTACAGTCTCAGTGCAGGAAATCGTTAGAAACAATACAGTGCAGTACAATTATTAAAGTTAGGCTGACATCATATAAATATCATATGTTTGTCATTTTACTAGAATATTTGCATTGTCTTACACCATTTATACTGTTAATCATTGTAAAATTCAATATAATTTCAGCAGCTATTTTAATGCTACTACAGTTACTAATATTTATTATTATTGTTATTATTATTATTATTATTATCATTGTAGAGTTTTTACTGTTGTGATTTGGTGCGACATAAATACAACTGAATAGAACTGATCTGAACCATTATTACTGCTGCTGTTACTAGTGTGACAACTAGCACTGCTTTTAAGCTACTATGACTACTAATATTGGAACTAGTATAATTATGATTGCTACTACCTTTGTCTTTGCTGTATTTCTACTGCTAACACTGCTATTATTGCCTTTGTTACTTCAAATAGTACAGCAGCACAGGGCCCAATCAATAAATCAATCAACCAATCAATCTATTTATTTATAAGCAAACAACACAGGTTGACCAAAGTGCTGTACAAAGAGAAAAAGTAAATAATAAATAAACAAACACACAAATAGAAGATAAGATAAGAAGCTAAACAACTCCGTCACAATTAAAAGCTATAGCAAGTAAAGATGCATCTTCAGGCGGGTTTTAAAAATGCAGAGTGTTGGAGAGGTCCTCATTTGAAGAGGCAAACTGTTCTGAGGTTTAGGCGCAACAATTGCAAAGGCCCAGTCTCCTCTGTGTTTTAGTCTGCTTCTAGGAACAATCAGAAGAAAGTTATCAGCTGACCTTAGAGTTCTGTTTGGAGTATGTTTAGCTAAAAGATCAGAGAGGTAAGAGAGAGCTAATCCATTTAGAGACTTAAAAGCAAGCAATAAAATCTTAAAATCAATTCTAGAATGTACTGGAAGCCAATGTAAACGAGCCAACACCGGGGTAATATGGTCATGTTTGCGTGTGCCTGTCAAGAGTCGGGCTGCAGCATTCTGAACAAGGTGATGACGAGAGAGCAGAGCCTGGCTGATACCTAAATACAGACTAATCTAGTAGTCAAGCCTGGTGTAATAAATGCATGAATTACTTTCCTGCAGCAGGCTACAAAACATTCTTACGTTTTGCAAGTGCCCTGAGCTGGAAGAAGCTGCCATCAAAGAACACCCCCAGATTGGGACAACTGGGATTACTGTTCTTATGGCTGTTTTCACAAATACAACTACCTGTGCTGCTATTACTGCTTTTGCTTATACTTACTAATTCCAGGCTACATCTAGCAGCATGAAAGTTGTTGTAGTGTTTTTACTGCTGCAACTACTGATGCTGCTGTTACAACTGCTACTACAATTATTGCCACAACAGCACCAAAGCAGTGAAGTGTAATTATAAATGATGTCATGAATGATTATCATCAATTCCATTTAGCTGCTTCACTTTCACATTATTGACTTAATGGGACACTTGAGTGGAATCGGGCCTGTTATTAGTAGTTTTTTGCTCTGAAACACAAGAAACAGTTCATTGAAAAGTATTCTGTTTCCTACTACTGCTGCTGGATACAGTAAATACCTAACGTGAGCTTGAGCGGGATTACAGTTTGAGTTTAAACATTCTTTCCCTGCTAATTGAATGGACCATGGCTCATTTACCAGAGTTTCAGCCTCTCTCAGTTGACACATACCTGAGTCAGAGAGAATTCCTGTAATGAAAGGAGAAAAAACAAGGAGATGAAGGACAAAGTCTGTACACTGCACCCTGTAAAGACTTCACTGTTTCCTCATGTAGATTACATCTTTGCTCATATCAATAGACAGCTTGTTAAAAATGTCAGGAAGCCCTGGTATCTTGATGAGCTAGAAGTTACTGGAGTTTGTGACTAATTGCAGGTCCCAAGATATTTTTCAAGCAAAATTTTGCTGGAAATTGTACTGCAAGAACTGTAGTGCTGCTAGCATTTGAGGACATGCAGAGCTCAGAGCGGTTACTCACTGCAACAGTCACATGAAGCCTACAGAGGTTCTTTTCTTTGCCCCACATACTAATTGGTTTCGGCTGCTCCATTCAAACTCACAAACACCTACACATATGCATATTATGTAAGCCCCAGATGGACTTAATTAATCAAATTGATTTATTTCCTCTGGTAACGCTAGCAATCTGCCAAAACTGAAATGGGTAAAATGTGTGCTTCTTTGATCACAGGCAATACCCTCAAAAGAGCTGGCATTCTCGCCGAAGAACCACTGGCCGGGAGATAGATAAATACTTCCTTTGTATGACAAGCTTCTTGCATATGGAAGAACACAAAATAAAAATCATAAGTACTCACATGTAAATGTAAACAGTTTGAGACTTTGGTCTTAGGTGGGTATCAGTTGGATCTTTGGTATGATTGCTAAATGCATATGTTAGATACAGTGTTTGTACCCTTTCTAAAGTGTTATCATGGGTTGGGTGCTCATGCTGTAACAGGATTTAGCATCACCAGCTGACCAGCTGACCAGCAGACCCCTGGAGAGTTTAATCCTGCCATGTAAACAGTCCACTGTGTGATCTGAACAGGTTTACTTCCCTTCACACACACACACACACACACACACACACACACACACACACACACACACACAATGCAACTGTGACCTGTTTTGTTTTTGGAAATGTTGGGAATGCACTTCCAAGAACAGTTTTCACGAGCAGCTGACCCTTCACAAACACACACTGAAAAACTGCAAAACGACTACTCTTGTAAACTTAGCCTTTACTCTAAACTTTGTCTAGCCTGAACCTTACATAAACCTTAACCAGATTTTCATACTTTGAGTTGAACGTGCGTGGGTCCCTCAATATAAGCGTATAATCATGTCCCCGCAATGTGAGTAATACAAGTATAGACGCACTCACTTCTATTATTAGACGCTCTCTTGAGATACTAACAATACTAACAGTAACTCATATTTGTTTTCTAAAAAGTGTATTTGGGAACAAAGATGCCCTCTGAGAATTGTGCAATGGGGCTTTAATAAAACTGCAAAGAAGCTCAGCTCTTCCAACTCCCCCATCCAGTCGTGCTGCTACCACCAACACAAACAGTCACACTGGTACAAACACCCTTCTCGACTCTAATGCACTTCTTAGACAGCTTAGTTGGCTTTTAGTTAACCTGGCAAGTCTCATCCTATTTGATGGATTAACTGCTTTGCCTTATGCCTCGTACTGACTCTCACTCAAAGCCATACAGATACTTGGCAAACAAACTGCTTTGTATGCTGATTTTTTTAACACACTGTGGTTGGAATTGACCCTAACCCTACTTTCAAATATTAACCTTAACCTTATCTTTTTGTGAAAGTCAAGCAGAACCTTTTTGTTTTTAAAGTAGGCAATTTTTAATCCATGTCAGCTACAGGTAGAATGATTATTTCTTAGCTTCCTGATTCCTGCTAAGATCTGGCAGGTAAAAAATGTAATATTCTGATAGCAAAGGATTAGGGTTAAAGTCATCACCATGGACGACTTAGTCCTCACAAGGTTAAAGATAGTTAATTGTACGCATAGCTGTCAGTTAGGGCCTATTCACTAGACCATTTAGTTTATTACAAACATACAACACATGTTGGCTGACAAGTGTCAAGACTGGAGGTCAGGAATGTCAGAGTTAGCCAACCATTTATTTCTTGCTACTTACCACAGACACATCCTGTCTCTTCCTGGAGGATTTGTAGTCCAGATGGAATATAAAATCCCACCAGAGCACTGTGCCCAAAACAAATGTAAGTGGCAATACTAATTTAGTTTTGGCTGAGTCAGAGCCTTCTTTGAAAGCCAT